GCAAGAGAACGAGAAAGCACTAGGCTTTTCGTTTTAGATGCGTTCACATGCATGCCGGTCACGTCGCACTCGGCCGCGAACCTTTCCAAGGAGCACTGGAGATCAGTTTCACAAAATGCTAATACAACAAGGTCGTCTGCAAAGAGCAACTTTTTCGTCTCGATATCTCCTACGCTGATACGCCGATGGTCTGGCTATTCTATGTACGTACAAAACATACAGTCGAGGGGTACCGCCAGACCCAGCCATAGCGCATACCAGTGCCAGAGGTGAAAGGCTTCGACTAAACGCTGCTTACTGTGACGCAGCAACTGGTATGATCATATAGTGATTGGATGGGCCGTAGCAACTGATCATCGATCCCATGATACGCCTCCTCTAGGACATGTGCACTGGATGGCCGAACTCCCACGATTTCTCAACAATCTGGCACAGGGCAAATATATGGTCAGATGTGCTTCGATCGGGCCGGAAGCCACACTGCTCTTCTTGCATCCTGGAGTCTGTTATTCCGCAGAACCTCCTTTGTAGCACCATTACGTTGATTTTACCACAACTCTATATCATCGCCAAAATAAGTTAAAATTCTGCTCTCGATTTCTGCGTTTACCTCTGTAAAAACTTTTGTTACAAGTTATGCTTATTCAAAGACAGTATAGTTCCAAACATATATTTCTTCTAGATTGGGTTTTCGAAAGGAGTGTGAATATTACCAGGGACAACCAGGAAAGGATTACAAATATTTACAACCTCATACGACTGATGATCATGAATGGCATTGCATTTCTTCTACCTGAGGCCGTGGGCATGCGAATGGTGGTTAGTCATGACAGAATACAAAAAATGCGTGATTTTATAATCTTATTTGACTCTTCAGTCATGGAACACATCAATCGCCGAAGCTGCCAAAAGGGAGTCCCAAATATGTTCTAAATGGTTAGCCGATGGAAAGCAATTGACGCCTGGGATTGCAGTGGACGTAGTTTCCAGTCAACTAAGCGTTTCTGATGACGGGGTTGAGAAAATAGCGATGGGACGCGTGAAAACGTCAGCCAGAGCAGTGTACGCAATCGCAAACCATCCATCAATCGCCAAGCCGCTTCACAATTCTCGTGAGGTATGGAAGATTTTTTGTCTCATGTGTCTAAGATGGAGAATTTTTCAGATTATCCATGGTAATATTACGCAAATTGGCTGCGGCATTTCTGTGTGCTCCGCCATGCGATCAGGAAAGGATAACGAAAGCTATATTATCCTGGTCTGTTTGCATCAACCCAGGTTATTTGAGTTGATAATTGGCTTGATACTGACGTTCAAAATGTTTTAGAACGGCAAATGACGACCCCAGAAAGCTTCCTTATACGGTATACGAGGATGGCATTCTTCGCTGTCCTGAAAGTGAAAGAGAAACATCAACTGGTCTGTGTGCACAAATCGAAGGGTCTGTGCCGATTTTAAGTTGGTAGTTAGTTTGATGGCAGACTCGATAACTTGAATAAAATTTATTTGCTGGTTTAACATGAAAAGAAGTGATTTGTTGATAAAGGTTTTCGAAGGTACTCGTAATAGTTTTAAAAGTAGTATTCCATAAAAAAGCTTCAAGAGAATGCAGGCAACAGTATTTTGGATTAAAGTTTCCAAAAATTGATTTGCTTAAATAAATTACACGAATAATAATACTTCATTTTATTCTATTATCTAAACGGTTTAGTTCAGATTCAGGAAGTGCGCAATCACTGTTAAATTCAGTGCAGGACCTTCAACAATTTTGCATCTCAAGATAGCATACCTTTAGGAAGGGTCAAACCTAAAGTAGTTGCCCTCCTACTTTTTGATGCCGTGTGAGTGGCTTTTTCCTGACGCATGGCATACTTGAATGATTTGGGGCTTCGTGTCAGGCATTAAACGTTTGGTGATAGGTTTATAGTAGAAGATCTGAGTTTAAACGGCACACATTCATTCACAATTTACTCATGTTACGGTAGAAAAGCCACACTGGACTCATTTTGCACCTTTCTTCCTGCCTTCAATTAGCTTTCTGTCCATTCCTATTTGACTGATTCCAAAATCTTTCTTTACCGCCAGTTGGCTTTCGGGCAGCTTGGAAAGGAGTCTAGGACATAATTCTTTATTATGCTGCTTTCAACAGCCGCAGAACCTTCTTCGGCCTCTCCTCTGCTCTGCTGAATCAAGCGGCTTGTTCAAGGATCAAGTTCTTGAGTTTCCAGCCGGATTCACTATCGTACCATTCTCTGCACAAACAGCTTACCCCGTATATTATTTCGGATTAATTTTTTTGGCATGATGCCTTCTTTATGCAGGTGGTTATCAAGCTCGCTTGGGAATTTGCAGACAGTGATCCCGTATTTGGTCTAAAGCGCTTATTTTTTTCAATTGGATTCTTTTTTTACCGGATAGCCAGACTGATAGCTCGGGAAGTGTTCTCCGTTTGTTGTCGGTTCCTCTAAGGTTCAAATTCTGTTCAGCTTTTAGTTCTTTTGACTGTACATTGATGGAGATCTTCAGATACCGGTTTCTATACAGTTCAACGATAAGGATGCTGTTCTCCTGATGGAGTGAGAAGGTGTCTACATACAGTTTCATGTTCCAGAGGTATAATGCTTGAACTATTCCCGTTGCAATGTAGCTTCCGGCATGTGTGAGCTTTCAATATTTACTGGTGTTTAATATCTTGTTCTTCCTGTTCCTAGGATCATCAAAAGGAGAAACTTTGTGGGTGAACCGAATGTTTTCGTCCATGGAATATGTTTTCGAAATAAGGT